ATTTTTTCCCAACTTGCAATCTGTAGGTGTGTGGAGCCTAAACTTCCAAGAGTCCCCCAGCCAGCATGGCTGGCTGGGGAATTCTGGGAGTTGAAGTCCACACATCTTAAAGTTGCCAAGGTTGAGAAATACTGCTATAATCTCTGCAAAGAAACTACTGTTTCCAGTGTTCCTACGTAAAAGTGGAGTGGGTTTGCAACTGCCATTCTGGCATTTTTGATTCCTTCGGATGTCCCTGAAGCCATTTCATCCCAAAAGCTCTAAGCTGTGCACTGCATAAGACCATCATAATACAATGCAAAGAAGAAGAGAATAAAACACCAGAAACCACAACGCCATAACGAAAGGGCTAAGAGACCCTGGCACAGACGGGAACGCCCAAAACGTCTTCAAAGTGGGGGAAGAGCTATGACGATCCACCCCAAAATTAACGTGGGCAAAGCAAAAAAACGAACCCCACCGTTCGTCCTTCCTATCGACAAAATGCAAACCTATTTCAATTCCAAAGAGAGCTACGAACGGGAGCAAAGGAAAGGGCAGGAGAAAATCAGAGCCAAACCTGGCCGTCGGGTTTTACCCGCCTTCGCTCCTCTTCTTTGTCAGTGGGTTTGACCTACAGATCTAGCTGACAACCACGCATCGTTCTCCACCCTGAACAAAGCTTTGCTTTCCAGTAGATGCGTTATCGCTGGTCAAGCTGGCCACTAAAGGCCAGGAATCAAACTGAATATTTGGGCAGGTTCTTCCAAGGTTAGGAGGTAGACTCAAAGAAAGTGCCAGCGAGAGACTGGGGGAGGCTGGGAGAGAAATGGAAGGAGTAATAGACTTCAAGGATCAAGACATATGAGGGGAGTTACTTGGTGGCTGGTCTCATAAACAGCAACTCAGCCCGGGTAGTGAGAAACCTGGGAAGAAGCGTTTCACTTCCTACACAGAAACTCCACCTTAATTCACCTGTTATAAAACAGGGTGGGAAACTCTTCTTGCACTTTCCAAGATTCTCTATTTCTCCTGAATTCTACCATTAAAGACGTTTTACTGAAGTCCTGCTTCCGTGGTCTTGCCCACCTGCAGGGAGCTTGGCCCTGCCACATTGGCAGACTTGCACGGGAAGGTATCACGACCAGACAAAGGCAGCCGTTGCTAAACCTTCCCGGTTGCAAGAACTCTGCCAAATAAACCATTGATCACTTTGGAGTCACTTCCCCAATTTTACGAGACGGCAGCTGATGAAATGCCCAGCATGTGAAAAGCCAGGCAGGCAAAATTCAATAAAGCAAATAAAAGGAGAGGATACGGAACTTTCGCTAACACATCAAACTATACAAATGGCTGGGATTTAATTGGATTTTAACAAGAGGCAGTGAGCAGGTGGGAGATAAATTTGCATGGGCTATCAAAGCTGCTGTCTTTTTTGCAATTAATACCTAATTACCCTTAAATTGATCACCTTGCTAATAAGTGCAGCAGAATGGGAAGTTTTGAGCTCAGGGGACCCCCCCACCCCCACCCACAGACATTGGGGACCAGCCAGCAGCGTTCTTCTCCGAACAGGTGCATGGAGATGCCGCAGGGCTCCTGTTCGGAAACCACCGTGTGGCTCAGAGGACATCTGTGGTGCATTCTGCATCCTTCAGCTCACAGCCTGGGATGGGAAGACCACTGTGGAGCTGCAGCCCTGCCATTCAAATGCGGGGTCTAGAGCAGTGCTTCTCAACCTCAGCCACTTTAAGATGTGTGGGCTTCAACTCCCAGGATCCCCCAGGCACCAGGGAACCACCAAGGAGAAAACCACACCCCCACCCACACTGGCAGGGCAAGCTACTGTATATAAGCAGGGAGCAAACCCCACCGTCCCTCGCACTGATGAGGTGACCTAGTGGGGTAATGAAACGTCCACAAGCCAACTAGCAAGCTCACAGAACACCAAGAGCGCCACAGTTCAACCCTGAGCTACAGAGATCCTCTCCTCCTGGAAAGACCACCTTGCTGAACAATGCCTATGGTGCCAGGAACCCCACTGGCACAGCTCCGCTCCATCATTTGTCCCCAGTCTTTGCTGGACTGCCTTTGGGTCTATTTTAGCTGGTGCAATTAACAGCCAACCTGGTATTTTTAAATGGGGGGGGGGGGGTAGGCTGTCTCCTGCGCTACTGGATGGATCGGGAGAACAAGGAATAAATCCGGAGGAATCTAGCAGACTTTTCTGAAGAAGGCAACTAGCCAGGAGGTTTAATTCTGGCTTGTGGGATAAAACACAGGGCCCTGATTGATGCATTGTGCTGGGGAGTCTGCAGCACGCGGTCAAAAGAGTCAAGATGGCAGCCACGACAGCACAATTGACTCCGCCTGCTTTTTCTGTGTTTTGTAGCTGGAACGCTGATGGCAACGTCATGGCCGCCATCTTGACTTTTTGGACCACATCCTGCAGACTCGCCTGCATCGTGCTAAACCAAAACCACTTAATAACTCAGTGCTCTGTAAGCTTAAATTATTTGGGAGGACTTCGGAGCAGGCCTAATAATGGCATTTCTTAATGTATTAGCTGAATACCTGCTCTCCAACACACGCCTAGCTCCCTTCTTGCCAGTCAGCTCCCCCCATTTTCCATTCCTGGCCCATTCTGTTCTGGGGGCTTTCGGGTGAATTTTTCAAAGCAGGCTCAGCTGAAAATAAAGCATCGTATGACGCCGGCCTTTTTCCTGGAGCAATGGAGCCCCTGACATGCTGAACAGGCAGGCCAGTCCCTTGACTTGGTCCCCTGGGGCTTGCAGGTGGCCACCGAAAAACTTTTGGCAAAGAGTAACTCTGAGCCGGATGCTGCCTGGGACCCCACTTCTGCCTCTCGGCTGCCCCACTGCACTAGGGCTGCCCCCCGTTTGGAGCGCCAGGGGCGAGGCGGGGGCAAACAGCAGCGAGAGGTCCAGCAGTGTAAGAGGCTCTGAAGCTTACCTGGCCTTTGAAATCAGCTCCTGCTGATGTGATGCTGGTGGGAGGAGGAGGAGGAGGAGGAGGAGGAGGGCAGTGGAGTGGCCTATTAAACATTTCAGAGGGGGAGGGAGGAATGGCCGAGGGAGGGGCCGCAGCATGTCAGGCACTGGGTTTGCAAGCGGTCCTGTCCCCTGTCATTATGAGCAATGGCCGTGCATTAAGGTATTAGAACATGACAGCTATAATTCTAACCAATTCCTGCCGGCTGGCCCAGCCTTGCACGATTTATAGCAGCACTTTCCAGAGCAGAAAATTAACAAGCCGTGCGCTCCGAGAACAAGGCAGGCCTGCTCGTTCTCTCTCCCACACACCCACATGGGCACGCGTACACACAGCAAATTTTATCCAGATCCTGATTTGCACATCTCCCCAAGATTGGAGAGGAGCGTGACCGTTTCCCCTTCAGCCCCCCATGGGTTCTGCCCCAATTAAAGGCCAGGTGTGGATCCTACTGGGGGCCTGGGACATGCAGGTGTCCTGGAAATGGGTATCTTTTTTGACACTGGAATCCATAAACCCGTAAAGGGTGGGGTTCCCTTTCACTGGATGTGATCAAGCAGGAGCTGGACCACCATCTGTCATGGATGCCTTAATCTGACTTCTGCACGGGGAGGGGGGCTCAGTGACCTCAGTGGCCCCTTCCCATCCTGTGATTCCAGGTCATTTTAGAAGACCAAGGGGAAAAATGAGATGGGTGGTTTAGAAGGAGGTGGAGGAGCAGCATGAGGGGAGAAGGAAGAAAACACAGCCTTCAAGACTTGCCCGTGGATATCAGGAATGGGGACTGTCAAGTTAAGCCTTGGAACAAAATATTGGAACTTGCAGAATTTGCAGGGCTCAAAGGCAGAGTGGCAAATTGGGGGCTGGGATGGAAAAGGAGACAGCAGAACAGAGTAGGAGAAAGATGCAAAATCTGGAGATGACCCTGGGACTCCTGCACCAAAGCCTGTGGGCCCGTCACTTCTGATCTGAAACTGCTGAATGTTGGTGTGACCTGTCTTGAAAAAGCTTGAAGTTGGTTATTGGGGCAGATCAAGGCCATTCTGAAGGCAGGATTAGCTTGCAGGATTCACGGGACATCTTCCCCACCACAGGCAGGAAACCGATGGGTCGAGGTGCCTTTTGGGGACCTTCGACCTTGTCCTGCACTTGAATTTTGGGTTGACACTGGATTGTGCAAAGGAGAGGCTCAGTGTGTGTGTGCAAGAGAGAGACAGAGGGGCAAGCAGCGAGGAGGGACAGAATCAGTTTCCAGGGGATGAGAAAAATATAGAGTATTCTGATCTCATGAGAATAAGGATCTGAAATCTCATTAATCATGCTGCATTAAACTCACACTGTGCCAAGGTTTTTTTAATGTCCAGAGTAAGTTTTATTATTTTACAGCATGGGAGGGAGGGAGTTTGCTCCTGATGCCACAGAAATGCCAACTCTGTCAGCCCACAAAAGCAGGAGGTGGCTTCAAGAGATGGTCAGATGCCAACGAATGCTTAGGGAGAGAGGCTGCAACGTGGCTGGCCCAGGCAGCCATAGATCCCAGGATCCCCCATTACTGAGATCCCAGGAGGGCTTGCCAACCTGGCTCAAACTCATCCAAAGAGCTTTCATAGTTGGGGGGAGTTTGAACCTTGGTCTCCCTGGTCCTAGTCCAATATTATGAGCAGGGGACTCCAGAGGGTATGGTCAAAGAAGTCAAGAGCCGCCCAGAGTCACCCGTTGGGGGGGAGATGGGCGGCATACCAATTTAATAATAATAATAATAAAAAAAGATGGTGTCCACGATGGTGCCATCCAAGATTGCACCACTGTAGCCACCATCTTGACTTTTTTGACCGCACAAAAGCATCTATCCATCCACCCACCCAACGGGCACCCACTGGTGGGGACAGATGAGTGGTATCATCACACAATTCCACAACTGAAGTACTTGTATCAGACACCCAGATGCAAGAATGCAACTGAACTGACCTGGCTATTGTACCCAGGCCTAAAAGCACACAGTGCAAACTCATTGGCAACAGGAAAAGGTCATCACTGCCCCTATCTGAGATTCTCCAGCCTCCCTGTCACCCAACTCATTGCCATGCCCACTTCAGGAAGACCCTGGAGATTCTCAAGGTGCCTTCTGCCTTAGAACCTGACTTAAAACTTCCTCTTCACAGAAGACCAGAAGACTCCCTCGTCAGCCAAGTATTCTGCCCAACCTCTGAATTTCAGCGTAAATTCCAGCACTGGGAAACTTCTGAATGATGCTGACAAAAGGCAGACAGATTAGAACTGGACTATTCATTCGCCCAAGTCAATTTCAGGACGCAGGTATTTTACAGCTAGGGACCTTATTTGATGGAACTCAGCACAAGCAATTTGATTCTCAAACGAAGCAATAGTTGTTGTTGAAGACCAAAAGGGAATGGAAGAAACAGAGAGAAAAATGATGACCATGGAACAAAGATCACTTTCAGGCAACTGAATGGAGCGTCCCACCTCTTAATACGCTTTCCCATGCAACAGGAGAGAAAGCAGCAGCGGAAGAAAAGTAGCTCATCCAGAAAAATGCTTTCCTCACCACACTACCTTTCCAGGCGCAGAGACTTTTTCTCCCCCCAAACCTATGCACCTTTCCTCTATCCCACAAAGAGAATTTATGGAATGCTCTTCCATAAATGCCGCCAGTTTCCAACTGTCTCGGTGGCAAGAGGAGGAGGAGGGGGCCTTAAGGAACAGAAAAATCGACAGGAATATATCCTAGAATTGCTTTAGGACATTGCCCCAGGTCCTTTGCCTTCTGAGTGGTGACTGGAGCAAGTTTATCTTTGCTAAGATTGTCACTGCAAGTATAAAATGAGAGCCACTCCAAGCACAAGAGTGAACTCTTTAAAGGTTTAGAGCAGTGTTTCTCAACCTTGGCGGCTTGAAGATGCCTGGACTTCAACTCCCAGAATTCCCCAGAAGTCCAGGCATCTTCAAGCCGCCAAGGTTGAGAAACACTGGTTTGGAGGATTTGTTCCTCCCACAGAACAACTGAAGGACATGCGTACCCCCTGCTGGACAACCCCACACCTACCTGTCGCAGGTGCAGCTTAGGAGCACAGCCAACAAATTGTACACAACGTAGGTGAAAATCACCGCCATGATGGTCCCCCGAGGAATGGAGTAGCTGGGCCGCTTCAGGTCACCTGGAACAGGAGGAGACTTTGGTCAAGCACGCCCAACAAACAGGAGCCTCATCCCCCATCGGCCTTCCCCACCACCTACCCTTTCCTTCCGGCCCTGCAAATCCCCACACACCTGACATGTTCGAACCCGCCATGATGCCGGTGCAACCGTTGAACATGACGGCGAAGACTGTGCTGAAGCTCATCAGCCGCCCAGTTGTGTAATCGACGCTGTAGTCCGCTGGAAGAGGCGGCAGGATGGCAGCGTGGTCGACGCGACGGGTCGCCCCAACAGGGTTGCCCGGATGGAAAAAAGCAGTAGCCGTGAATTTGGCGCCCTCGTGAAACGGACCTCTTCCTCATTGAATGATCTGGGAGCCATTCCTTCAGACGCGCAGGGCCCGCCTTGGCAGGAGGGCCTCTTGGCACTGCCATTCTAGGCCAGAGGGCCTGACGGGGGCTCGCATTGTTGGAATTGGCTGGTACGACGATTGACACTGCTCCCCCCCACCGTCAACTTGAATTGCCTGTAGTCTTTTTATACAGAACTGTTATGAGTTATTTTAGGATGGATATTTGTATTTTTATGGGTTTTACTGTTTTGGGATTTGAACTGCGAGCCACCCAGAGCCACCCTCTGCGGGAGATGGGCGGCATGTAAATGTAATAAATAAATAAATAAAAATTATATATATATATACACACACACACACACAAAATTTGTCACTGCCCATCTCGTTAAAAAGCGACTCTGGGCTCTTTACAGAAGAGATAAAATACATTAAAATACAATATTTTCTTGTCAAATTCTCATCCTTAACTCAATTTTGCACATACTGATGGAAAAGAGCAAGGGGGGAACTGCTTTTCAAACCTGGACCAGCCCTAACTGTTAGGTAGCAAAATGTCTTAAGTTAGCCCCTTTCACAGTTAACTTACAAGCTTCCTGCTGTGGCTGTCAGGGTAAAAGTGAACCATCTTTCCTGAAGAACTATGATTTTCCCTCCCAGAAAACCTTGGAACAAGCTCGGCCAAGTGGCGTCAGCCACGCCACCCCACCCAGGAGGACGTCCCAGGCCAATCTCCCCATAAAAAACCAGCGTTTTTAAAATTGCAGGAGTCTCACAATTTCACAGGGCCCCTTTGCAAGATCTCTTTGTTTCAGGGGTGTATAAGTGTAACTTCTGGCATGTTTGGGTAAGTGCAGCTGGCCACAGAAGGCAATGTTGGCACCTCCTGATCTTGCCACCTTTTTCATGGCCTCTGTTTGCAGCCAAACGCCAGAACCTCTTAGCAGCAGCTGTGCGGATGCTAAAAGCAACAACTTCGGGTCATTCCACCTGATTTCAGGGCCTTCTCAGTGAACTCACACACGTGCCCGCCTAATCAGCAGTAGAGGCACACCGATCTCAAAGACAAGTCTGAGCTTTGGGCAAGAGCTTCGTTTGGCGGTTCTCCCAAATTCAACCCTGAAAATTCATGATGCACCGCCACGGAAACACAGCTGTTTTATTATTTTATGTCCCTCGATGCACCGTGTAAAGAGTCACCGCTGGACTTCGACCAACAGCAGCATGCATATCATTTTGGAGTTAGATCCCATAGAAATATCTCTCCTGTGGATTCTGGCTGTTCCAAAAAAATTCATCAATGGTCACAAAGGCTTTTTGCATTTCGTGGTTCCATCTCAACATGGACAATCTATCTTGAGGGCTGACCTTTTCTACGTTTTTTTTTTCCTTTTCATTTCTTTATTCAGCTTTTCAACTCCCAGTGGCAGCTCCTGCTTTCTGTCTGTTTGTCACAGACCGTTTTTCAAAGCAGGTCACGAGGCACGTAAAAAGGGGTGGGCGGGGTGCCATTCTGACTTTTTTGAAGCCTTCCCTGCAGCCACCCGTGCACCAAAGTCCTTGAGACTTGCTGTAATCTTCCCCCGTAACGCCAGAGACCGCGTCACTTCTGCCGTCCCTCTTCTCTGCCCCCCTCCCCAAAGCCCGGCCAAGGCGGGCGACGTTGCCTCTGGGCCAGGCAGAAAGGTCCAGAACGTGTGCCAACTCACCATGCAGGTTGCCCAGGAGGGTGCTGAGCTTAAAGCCGGTGAAGGACGCGTTGAGGACTTCAGTGTGGTTCCCATCAAAGCTCGCAGGAAGCCACACGACCCGGACGCCCACAAGAAAGAAGCTGAGGCAGACGGTGCCCAGCACCACCATGACGACGAGGAAGATGAGGAAGGTGGCCTTGGCATAGATGCCAGCACCCACGAGGCAGACGAGGAGGCACAGGAACAGGAGGACCGTGCCGTATAAGAGGTCAAACCAGTAACTGCGGGGCAGGACCTGGGTGGCCGTCCCGCTGGTCCCCTCTGCGTATAGCCAAGAGTTGTATTAGATTTCACAAACACACACACAAATAGTCACTGCTCCCCCCGCCCCCCCGAATAGCTCCCTCACTTCCTCTCACAAAAACCAAACACAGAATTTCCTTGGAGGACCCAGAAGCAATCAGAGCAGGGTTTTTCAACGTTGGCAAGTCTAAGATGCGTGCATTTGAACTCCCAGAATTCCCCAGCCAGCAAGGCTGAGAAACACTGAACTGTACAGGAGATATTTCCTTAAGCTATTAGTTAAGATTCCCCTTGGCCTTAAATAAATTCCGGGAGTTAAAATCCACACATCTTAGAGTTGCCAACTTTGAGAAACACTGCAATAGAGGCTTAAGGATCACAGAAGCATGATCCTTAGGCTGGTATAACAAACCAGGTAGAAATACCAGGAGCATCTTTGATGCCTTGGGAAAAACTGCTCTGGGTGGATTGAAAGGCAGAGATTTGCACAGATTTAGGGTGA